GATTCAGTTCTATTACTATCAAAGTGCAAATGACATTCCTCACAGAACTAGAAAAAACTATTCTAAAATTCATACGGAACCAAAAAAAGAGCCTGAATAGCCAAGGGAATCCTAAGCAAAAACAACAAAGCAGGAGGCATCACACTACCTGATTTCAAACTATTCTACAAGGCTACAGTAACCGAAACAGCATGTTTATATAAAAGGGTATAAAAAGGGACACATAGACCAATGGAACAGAATTTCCCAGAAATAAGTCCATTGACAAAAAAGAAATGGGGAAAGGACTTGCTATGCAATAAATGGTATGAGGATAACTAATAAGTTATATACAGAAGATTGAAACTGAACCCTTCCCTGCACCATACAGAAAAATCAACTCAAGATGGATTAAAGACTTAAATATAAAACCCTATACTATAAAAAATCCTGGAAGACAACCTAGGCAAAACAATTTTGGACATAAGAACTGGCAAAGATTTCATGATGAAGATAACAAAAGCAATTGCAACGAAAGTGAAAATTGACAAATGGGATCAAATTAAACTAAAGAGCTTTCACAGAGCAAGAGAACTATCAACAGAGTAACAGACAACCTACAGAATGGGAGAAAAGTGTCACAAGCTATGCATATGACAAAGGTCTAGTAACCAGAATCTATAAAGAACTTCAACAATGCAACAAGCAAAAAACAATCCCATTAAAAAGTGGGCAAAGGACGTGAACAAACACGTCTTAAAAGAACATACAGGAGATCGATCCAAGATGGCCGACCACTAACAGCTCAGGATTGTAGCTCCCAGTGAAAGCCCAGAGAACAAGATGACGCCACACTTTTAGACGAATTTTCGTCACTCACCGATCAGCCGATTCCCAGTGGAGGAGCCCCACGGGTCGCCAGCGCGACTCTTGTGGCCGCCGCAGTGGTTTTGCCGGCGTCTCGGCGCAGCAGCTCTTCATGCAGAGCCAACAGGACTGCTTCCCCTACTGACCGGAGTTTGGAGCTCGGGGATGTCAGAGCCGCTTGTTGCGGACTCAAGAGGGAAGCCAGACCAGAGATTCCCGGGCAGAAGAGCACCATCAGTCTTATCGCTGCTATTTAGGCTGCCACAGTGGGTTGCTCGGATCCCAACACTGGGAATCAATAAGTTGGACGTCGACTCAGAAAACTAATTAGAAAGGCGGTTCATCTACAATGAAGAGAAAAAAACAGCCTAAGGCCGAGTATACTCAAAATCAGAACCCATCAGCAACAGAACAAGCCCTGATGGAAAAGGACTCATCAGCAACCGAACAAGCCCTGATGGAAAAGGACTCATCAGCAACCGAACAAGCCCCGATGGAAAAGGACTGTGTTCCATTATCTGAAGTAGGCTTTAAAAGGTGGATGATAAGAAACTTCTGGGAGTTAAAGGAACTTGTTCTAACCCAATGTAAAGAAACTAAGAACTTGGAAAAAAGGTTATATGAAATGTTGACGAAACGAAGGAGAAAATATTAAGGGCAGCCAGAGAGAAAGATCAAGTTACCCATAAAGGTAAGCCTATTAGGCTTACAGCAGATCTCTCAACGGAAACCCTACAAGCTAGAAGAGAGTGGGGGCCAATATTCAATATACTTAATCAACAGAACTTTCAGCCCAGAATTTCATATCCTGCCAATTTAAGCTTTACATTTGAAGGAAAATAAAATTTTTTAGGAACAAGCAAGTACCCAGAGATTTTATTACCACCAGGCCTGCTTTAAAAGAACTTCTAAAAGAAGCATTATACACAGAAAGGAACAACCAGTATGACCCTTTCTAAAAATACACCAAAAAGTAAAGAGCATTAACATAAAGAAGAATTTTTATCAACAAAAGGACAAAATAGCCAGTTAATATCAAACGGCAGCAACCCTAAATTTAAATCGACCAAATCTCCCAATCAAAAGATACAGACAAAATCTAACGGTATATCCAAAGATATACATAGACTCAAAATAAAGGGTTGGAAAAAAAAAACGTACCAACCAAATGGAGAGCAAAAATAAATAAATAAAAAGCAGGAGTTGCAATTTTCACATTTGACAAAATAGATTTCAAAGCTACAAGGATACAAGGATAAAAGGATTAATGTAATAATAAGAGATCTTAACACCCAGATACATAAGACCCATAATGAGATTTAGATTCAACGAGACAGAAAATTGATAACGATATCCGGGACTGGAACTAAGATCCAGAACAAATAAATTCAATAGAGCTCTCCATTTTAAACACACAAAATATACATTATCCACAAAATCTAACGATATATCTAAAGATATACAAAGACTCAAAACAAGGGGATGGAAAAAAACTCACCAACCAAATGGAGAGCAAAAATAAATAAATAAAAAGCAGGAGTTGCAATTCTCACACTTAATAAAATAGATTTCAAAGCTACAAGGATGCAAGGGTAAAAGGATTAATGCAACAATAAGAGATCTTAACACCCAGATACATAAGACACATAAAAAAAAAAAAAGAACATACAAGCAGCCAACAAAACATATGAATAAATGCTCAGTATCACTAATCATCAGAGAAATGCAAATTAAAACTATGATGAGATAGCATCTTACACCAGTCAGAATGCCTATTATTAAAAAGCCCCAAAACAACAGATGCTTGTAAGGAGAAAAGAGAATGTTTATACACTCTGGTGGGAATGTAAATTAATTCAGCCACAGTGGAAAGTGGTTTGGAGATTTCCCAAGGAACTTAAAACAGTTTCACCATTCAACCTAGAAATCCCATTATTGGGTATACACACTCAAAGGAAAATAGATTATTATAACAAAAAGACAGATGCACATGTATGGTCATTGCCATATTATTCACAATATCAAAGACATGGAATTGACCTAGGTGCCCATTAAAGGTGGATTGGACAAAGAAAATATGGTACATACACACCATGGAAAAATATGCAGCCATAAAAAAAGAATGAGATCATGTCCTTTCCAGAAACAGAGATGAAGCTGGAGGCCAGAATCCTAAGCAAATTAACATAGCAACAGAAAACCAAATATATCATGTATTCTCATTTATAAGTGGGAGCTTATTATCAGGTACTCATGGACATAAACATGGGAACGATAAATACTAGGACAAATAGATGGGAGTGAGGGAGGAGGGCATAGATTGAAAAACTACCTATTGAGTATTATGTTCACTACCTGGCTACAATGTACCCATGTAACAAATCTTCACATGTATTCACTGCATGTAAAATAGAAGTTGAATTAAAAAAAAAAAAAAACAGTAGGAAAAAAACAGAACCTGATGCAGTTCCCTGAAGACACCAGGCACATCCCTACCTCGGGATTTTCCACTTGCTGTTTCTTTAGCCTGGAACATTCTGCCCAGATGCCATCCTGGATCCATCCCTTACTCCCTTCCTCCAGGTCCTTGCTCATCTCAGCCAGGCATCCTGGCATAACCCTATTTAGAAGTGTAGCCACCAACCTCTTCCCACTACCAAAGTCACTCTCTTTCCCTTTTCCTGCTTTATTTTTCTGTATTGCTCTTATTACCATGACTTTTGTTTGTTTTACTCAGTTACTTTTCTCTGTTTTCTTACAGGAGAGTATGTGCTCCATGAGAGCAAGGGTTTTTGTCTGCTTTATTCACTGTTGTATTTCCGTTACCTAGAACAGTGACTGGCACACAGTAAGGTTTTACTTACTATGTCTCTAGAAGGGAAGAATGAGATTTTTCTCAGCACCACATCACACCTACTCTAAAATTGATCACATAATTGGAAGTAAATCACTCCTCAGCAAATGCAAAAGAATGGAAATCATAACAAACAGTCTCTCAGACCACAGTGCAATCAAGTTAGAACTCAGAATTCAGAAACTTACTCAGAACCACACAGCTTCTTGGAAACTGAACAACTGGCTCTTGAATGTTGACTGGATAAACAATGAAATGAAGGCAGAAATAAAGATGTTCTTCGAAACCAACAAGAGTGAAGACAACATACCAGAATCTCTGGGACACATTTAAAGCAGTGTCTAGAGGAAAATATATAGCAATAAATGCCCATATGAGAAGCAAGGAAAGATCTAAAATTGACACCCTATCATCAAAATTGAAAGAGCTAGAGGAGCAAGATCAGAAAAACTCAAAAGTAGCAGAAGACAAGAAATAACTAAGATCAGAGCAGAACTGAAGGAGATAGAGACAGAAAAAAAATCCTTCAAAAAATCAATAAATCCAGGAGCTGATTTTTTAAAAAGATCAACAAAATAGACAGACCGCTAGCCAGATTAATAAAAAAGAAAAGAGAGAATAATCAAATAGATGCAATAAAAAACGATAAAGGGGATATCACCACAGATTCCACAAAAATACAAACCATCATCAGAGATTATTAAAAACAACTCTATACACATTAAACTAGTAAACCTGGAAGAAATGGATAAATTCCTGGACACTTGCATCCTCTCAAGCCTAAACCAGAAAGAAGTCGAAACCCTGAATAGACTAATAACAAGGGCTGAAGTTGAGGCAGCAATTAATAGCCTACCAACCAAGAAAAGCCCAGGTCCAGATGGGTTCATAGCCGAATTCTACCAGACATACAAAGCGGAGCTGGTACCATTCCTTCTGAAACTATTCCAAACAATTGAAAGAGAGGGAATCCTTCCCAAATCATTTTATGAGACCAACATCATCCTGATACCAAAACCCGGCAGAGACTCAACAAGAAAAGAAAACTTCAGAAAAGAAAGAAAACAAAAACTTCAGAAAAGAAAGGAAAATATCCGTGATGAACAAAGATGCAAAAATCTTCAATAAAATACTGGGAAACCGATTACAACAGCACATCAAAAAGCTTATCCACCATGATCAAGTAGGCTTCATCCCGGGGATGCAAGGCTGCTTCAACATACGCAAGTCTATAAACATAATTCACCACATAAATGGAACCAAAGACAAAAACCACGTGATTATCTCAATAGATGCAAAGAAGGCCTGCCTTTTCTCAGGGCTGCCCTGCCCAGGGAGGAGGCAGCCTAGTCACAGTCTGCATGCAGAGGCTTTGCTGAGTTGCTGTGGGCTCTGACCAGCTGCCCTGTGAGCTTCCCTGCGGTTCTGTTTATAGGGGTATAGTTAGAACTGCCTCTCTAATGGCGGACTACCTCAGCGGTGGTGGACTGCCTCGGTAATGGCGGACTACCTCAGCAGTGGTGGACTGCCTCGGTAATGGCGGACTACCTCAGCAGTGGTGGACTGCCTCGGTAATGGCGGACACCCCTCCCCAACAGAGGGGGACTGTCCCGGGTTCAGCTGCCCTTGCTGAGAAACTCAATCCAGAGCGCTTCAGATTGCTGATTTTTGTGGGGGTAGGACCGGCTGAGCTTGATCACCTGGCTCCTTGCCTCAGACCTGTCCCCCCCCCCCAGGCAGCTCTGTCCCCCAGGTGTCTCAGTCACCAGTTGAAACAGCGCCAGATTTGTGTGATTTCTTGTGCGTTGACCCGCTGCGCCAGCTGAAACAGCTTCTAGAGACTCGTGGCGCTTTTTCACCAGGGAATCACCTGGCCTGGCTCCCTGTTCCAGCCCCCATTTTTTCAGTTGAATGGGCGTCTCTGCCTCCCAGGCGTTTCAGTCACCTGTTGAGAAGGTGCCCGGATTTGTGAGATTTTGTGCAGAGATCTGCTGCTCAGGCTGGGCCGCACTGCGGGCTCACGGCGCCATTTTGCCGGGAATCTCCTGGCCCGACGCCTGTTTCAGTCAGCTTTTTATCAGCTGAACGGGCGTCTCTGCCTCCCAGGCGTTTCAGTCACCTGTTGAGAATGCGCGGAGATCTGTGTGGTTTCCCCTGTGGCAAGCCACTGCGCCGCAGCCCCCCAGAGATTCGTGGGGCTTCTTCGCCCGGGAATCTCCTGGCCTGGCTCCCTGTCTGAGTCAGCTTTCTATCAGTTGAACGGGCGACCCTGCCTCCCAGGAGTTCCAATGGCCAGCTACCTGGACCCAGTATTGTGTGTGGAGAGCCGCTGTGCCGGCCAAAAAGGCCGCGCTCGCGACCTGTGGGGCTTCTCCGCCCGGGAATCTCCTGGTCTGTGGGCAATAAGAATCCGTCTGGAAATGTGGCGTCCAGTTCCCCTTCGTGCGGTCACTGGGAGCTGCGGTCCTCAGTTGCTCCTTCCTAATCGGCCATCTTGGATCAGGACTCCAATCTCTGTTACTTCTTTCTAAGGTAAGGTCAGGTCCAAGAAGTGGCAGAAGTAGAAATGGGTTTTTATGCCTATTATCGCTATGCATATTCATACGTATGGAAAATTCTTATTGGCCATTGCCAAAAGGCTTTTCTAAAATACTTTGTAGTGCATGGTTGCTTGGAAACATTGAAATCTCAAAATAAATAGTTCTGCCTTGTCCAAATGTGTACAAATTGCACTAAACATAGATACATAGACTCCTCCAAACCTGTAAGGTTGACATCATAAGGCCTGCCTCGAATGCATTTTTGGCTAAACCAAAGTCTTTAATTATCTTAAAAAGAGTAACATGTTAGAAATGTGCATGCAATTATCCCTTTAAAACACCGTAAGAATATAAAGACGGCCTTCCTCCTGACAGTACTCGGGGCCACTCATCTGAGTGTTAGGATGTCTACGAGAATTTGCTGTTAGTGACAGGTATAAATCACTCTCCAAGCACTTGTGTCTCATTCTTTCCATCCTTGGATTTGACCAATAGTACAGAGCAAAATGTTATGTTCTTTCTAGTAATCTGTGTCCGTGTTGCCACTGATTATAACCTGAATGGTAATTTGGCCATTGTACCATTGCACAAAGGCACGCTCAGGATGCCCTGCTTAGATCGGTCATGTCTGCTGTCTTAAGCAGATGAAATAATCAAGTACACATGGAAGGTCTCGAGAGATGTCCATGTGGATCAGTCCGGGGCTGAGAGAAGAACCTGGGTATGCTTATCAGAGTTCAGACAAAAGAAAATGACAGTTTAAGTATTTGTACCAAGACTTCTTTTGGTACAGTTTTTAAGCGACACTGACGTAGTATTGTAAAACAAACTGAGCTAGATCTATACATGGTACGATTTTTAAGACACCCTTTCTAGTCTTATTTATCTCATATAGTATACTAGATAAAAGGCAGATAAACTGTTTCCCACTTATCTAAATTGAGATGATTTGTCTTGGCACCAAATAGAATTTGCAACTGGGATGTTGCTCTGGCATCTCTTCTCATCTGGGTTGTCTCGTCACTTTTGTCCATCCCTGCTTGGAAATACGTGGAAATTCTTATTGGAAGTTGAAAATAAAGGGCTCTTTCTTTCCTTTGCTTCCAATCAAACTTCTGAGTTTCTCTCTGTTTATCTGTGTATCTCGTGGCCTCAGACTTTAAAAATAGACGTAGTTTGAATTTAGGGCTGACTCAGAAACCAAGTAAGCATTGTCTCCAAACATAAAGCCATGTTTCTTTGCAAGCAAAGCTGGCTGTTTAGCTGGAATCTCTTTCTATGAAGATCACCCCTGGGTAACTAACAACTGAGACCTATAACATTTTTGAAGATCAATTTTTGTTTTCTCACTCCATGTATTGACATTTTCAGATGTTCTCTTTGAAAAATAGCTTCAGGACTGGACAAGGAAAATATGGCACATACATACCATAGAATACTATGCAGCCATATAAAAAGATGAGTTCATCTCCTTTGTAGGGACATGGATGAATCTGGAAACTATCATTCTCAGCAAACTGCCATAAGAACAAAATATCAGACACTGCATGTTCTCACTCATAGGTGGGTGTTGAACAGTGAGAACACATGGACACAGGGAGGGGAGCATTCCACACAGGGGTCTGTGAGTGTGGGAGTTAGGTAAGGGACAGTGAGGGGTGGGGAGTTGGGGAGAGAGAACATGGGGAGAAATGCCAGATATAGGTGATGGGGAGGAAGGCAGCAAACCACACTGCCATGTGTGTACCTATGCAATGATCTTACATGTTCTTCTCATGTACCCCAAAACCTAAAATGCAATTAAAATAAAGAAAGAAGTAACAGAGATTGAGCTGCATGCGAAGGCTTGTTGCAGACAGTATCTTAAGAGAGCCAACTATTTTTTTCTTTTCTGACATGTGAAGTGATTACACATGATATAAACTGCAAAGGCAATGTTGCAGTTTGTCTCAGGAGGTATATTTGTAAGTTTATTTTTGTCAAGCAGTTAACCTTCTGGGGAAAGTGCCCTGTAGGCTAAACATTTTCTGCTCTTTCTCTAATTCTTTAAGCAAATAAAAATGCCTATTTGAGAATATCTATCAAATTCCATAATGGTAGGGATAGGTGGGGAAAGAGGCCATAGGGTATGAAATCGATAATTATTATTTATTAGTATATGTACTTGGTACTTGCAGGTGGCATTTCTAGAACTTGCCCATCTGGCTGTCAGAGAAATTCAGTTGTACAATATTGTTTCTCCGTTATAGGACTCATGACACCTGATGCTCTGATATTTGTTGTTAGGACAACTTCCAGTCAACTGGCAGGACCTACCATTTGGGGTTAACTTCTGGTTTGTCAGTATCTCATAGAATTGATTATATTAGAACTTTTTCCCCTGTCTGATTGTGAACATTTTGAAAACTTTTATTTGCACAGGGATCATCTTTAAGTTGGTATCACATGTTGTCGACATTCTATGTGTTATATTAACCAGAAAACAATTGCTCAGTTAAATATAATTCAAGTTTTACGCCTCAGCAAGTCTTCTAGAGAGCCTTACAAATAAATACAGTATATCATTTAATGCTGAAATCCTTGCAAAGTTCAGATACTCCCTATGGAGAGCTTGATGCATTTTAACACTCCGTTCATCAGACTTCTTGTGTTCTGAGTCTAAACAGATTCTGATTGTTATTAGTCACTAATGATGCCAGCATGAGTAATCGTTTAATGGCAGTTCTGTTTCTCACTGCAGCATAGTACTTTGGATGCATATGAATGATATTCTACATTGGTTAGTGCCAATCTGCCTGGTGGTCTCTTTGAATTAACAAGATCTGGCTTCAGAGTCCACAAAGCTGAAAGCCAGACTCTGGTGCATGGTAGGTAATTTCTCCATGGCCTTCGTGGGTGGTCAGATTGCTGTTCTTCTCCCCAGGGGAAATTCTTAGGCATCACCATGTGAAGACTACTCTAAATTCCTAAAATGTTCTTTGTATTTTTGTTGTAAGGAGGTTTGTATTCTTTTGCTGTGTGAGGAAAATAATTGTGAAATTGGGGGTGGAAGTTGGGGAAATCTAGGGGATAATGGTGTTGGGGGACCCTGGCTTTGAAGGGTGGGAGCACTAAGTCAGGCAGAGAGATCCTGCATCCTTCTGTAGGGAGTCTGCCACATTGCTGGCATACCAGTGTGAGGGCAAAAAGAAGCCTTCCACAGAAGGGAATGTTTATCCAATGATAGCCAACTTTTGGAGGATGAGGAAAATAACAGTTCCCTATCTATATTAACTTGAATTTGTCTCTATGTGCTATCATTAATCACTGCTCCAAACGGAGTTAATGGGAATGTTATGGCTCAATTTCTGTGGATTAGGGAAGCTTATCAAAGGGGCTGGCACTTCCTAGCTACTTGTGGAATTTATCTGTGTTAAATGAGTCCACTTGGAGATGTCACACACATTATAATTTCTACCCCAACAGGATAATAAATATTAGAAAATATTCACAAAAATTTAGAAGGAAAAAAGAGAAAGCTTCTAAAATTCAATTTCTTCCTTTGAGTCTGCCCTGAACTTCTACCCCAGAAGACTTAAATGGACACAAATTACACATAGTAATAAAAATCAGCAGGGCTTAGTTATATTTTAAACTCGAATAGTTCACAACATAGTTTTCAAAATACAGGTTGTAATTATGCAGGGATATCTCTTTTTAAGAAAGAGTAGCATGAAAGGTCATAAATGATAAATTGGAAACAACATGAAAAGCTGCTTCCTTGGGGGAAAAGCTGCCTAAATGGCTTGTAGTCTAAGGAAAACATTCACATATGGTCATACAGATACAAAAAGCCATTTTATTATGTTATTTAAATAGCAAATTATTGCTGCCTATGAACACTTGATTGCTATAGCCAAGGAATAAGTCCACATCAAGAACACTGTAACTGAGTTATAAAAGACTGTAAAATTCAGAAAACTTGTTATAGAAATAATTATTCCAGTTAAGGATCATCCACTAAGTTCATTGAACTACACTGTATTTTAATTAAATTATGTTTTGAGTAACAGAAGTAATATGGCTAGGCTTTGTGTCCCCACCCAAATTTTATCTTCAATTGTAATCCCCATAATACCCAGGTATCAAGGGAGAGATTAGGTGGAGGTAACTGACTCATGGGGGTAGTTTCCTCCATGTTGTTCTCACAATAGTGATTTCTCACAACATCTGATGGCTTTATAAGGGTATCTTCCCCCTTTGCTCACCACTTCTCCTTCCTGCTCCCATGCCAAGAAGGACATCTTTGCTTCCCCTTTGCCTTCCACCATGATTCTAAGTTTCCTGAGGCCTCCTCAGCCATGCTGAACTGTGAGTCAAGTAAACCTCTTTCCTTTATAAATTACCCAGTCTGTCCGGGGGGAAATAGGGGAGGAACAGCAGGGGGTGAGGAGTTGGGGAGAGATAGTATGGGGAGAAATGCCAGATATAGGTGATGGCAAATCACACTGCCATGTGTGTACCTATGCAACAATCTTGCATGTTTTTCACATGTACTCTAAAACCTAAAATGCATTTCCAAAAAAAAGAAGAAAAGAGAGAAAAAAAGCAAAACTCTTGTATGTGTATCTGTGTGTGTGTGTGTAAAATAAATAAATTATCCAGTGTTGGGCAGTTCTTTATAGTGTAAACAGGAACTGATATAAAGAGTGAAAATCAAATGGTTTACAAATAGTAGCAGCATTACTTAAAGAATATCCAAGAATCCTGTTACTTGTCTTTGCTAAACTCTGTCCTATTTGCATTAACATTTATGGCATTGAGAGCCTAGACAGTTTTATTCACTTTCCATGGTTACTGTTGGGGTGGGTGGGAGGATTAGGCAACGGGACATCTTGCTAAAGAATAACACACTCAGTCTTCCTTTATAGCCTGTAGAAGAGTTCTACACATTAAATCACCACTGTACAACTTTCAGATTTAGTTTCTTAAATATGCTAAGATAAGACTTTC